CCCCGCCCCACCAGCCAGAGTTTCACATATCCCAAGCTGGCCTAAAACTTGCACTCACTATGTATATCACTCCCAGTTTCTATCATGCTGGAGTGCAAACCCAGAGATTCGTGCATGTAGCATGGGAACTTTACCACCTGAGCTACATTCTTATTCCCAGCCTCCATGTTTTCACATTCTAATCCCAGAGCCCTTATTAGGCATATATGGATATATGCAAGAATATGAAGAGTGAAAGAGAATATTACAGAGCCAGTAAGATGACTCAATATACAAGGTTGTTTACCACCAGCCTGGTGATCTGAGTTCTGTCCCCAGGATCCACATGGTAGAAGGAGAGAACTCATTCCCACAAGTTGTCCTTCGATTTTTATATGCATGTCTTGCCCTGCCCCCATAAATAAATGTAAGCTATTAACTATTTTATAAAACGGACTTTAAAAAGAGGTACAGTTATGTAGCAGGAATCTTAGAAGCAGGAATCTTAGAGAGTTCTTATTAATAAAATCAAACCTGAGGCCAGTTATTGGGGTGAACACTGGAAGATCAGAGAGCCAGAACAAGCCACAGCTACCTCACCTCGCCGGATCCTCAGCTGGTCTTGCTTCCTCAGACTGGAGGCCTCTGAGTCCTCATCCAGAATGAATCTCAGCTGAACTGTGCTGCTCCAAAGCCTGAAAGCTTGACCAGGCCAAATGCTTAACCAGCCCAATGCTTCTAGTTCCTGGTCCTCACACCTTATATATCTTTCTACCTTCTACCTTCACTCCCTGGGATTAAAGGCTCGCTTTCTGAGATTAAAGGCGTGAGTCACTATGCTTGGCTGTATCCTTGAACACATGGATTTCTGCCTCTGGAATGCTAGGATTAAAGGCATGTGCTACCACTGCCTATCCTCTATGTTTAATATTGTGGCTGTTCTGTCTCTGACCCCAGATAAGTTTATTAGGGTGCACAATATTTCGGGGAACACAATACCACCACACAGTTAGGTTCGTACTCTAAGTTGAGAATTTAAACTGTTACTTAAGGCATAGCTTACAAGGCTGAAAATGTATTGACTGAGCTGTGTTATAAACCCTGCTTTCCTCCTGCCCCTCCTAAGTATTTCCTTAACTGTCAGAATGCGCTCAGTGTTCTACCTACCTCACCAATGACCAGTGCGTCTTCATGTCTTGGTAGATACTCATTTTTTTTGAAGATTTATTTATTTTGTATCTTTTATGAGTCTATGTCTGAGTGTTTGTATATGCACTGCCTATGTACAGGTGACCATGGAGGACACAAGAGAGTATTGGATCCCTTGGAGCTGGAATTACAGGCAGTTGTGAGCCTCTTGGTGTGGGAGCTGGGAACTGAACCCAGGTCCTCTGCAAGAGCAGCAAGCGCTCTTAGCAGGTGAACCATGGCTCCAGCCCCCCGGTGGCTACTATTATCTTAATTTTTTAAACGTGGTCAAGGACCAGTGAGATGGCTCAGTCGAAAAAGGTGCTTGGCATGCAGGCTTGGGAACTTGAATTTGATCCTTGAACCCACATAAAGGCATAAGGAGAGAGCCAATTTTGACCCCCATATGAATATATGAATGGAATGTGCACACCTACACACCACACACATGTAATAATAATAATAATAATAATAATAATAATAATAATAATAATAATAAATATAGCTGGTAGCTGGGCATAACAGTGCATGCCTGTAATCCTAGTACTTGGGAAGTGGAGGCAGAAGATTCAGGAAGTCAAGATCATCCTTAGCTCCATGACAGTTCAAGGAAAGGTTGAATTACATGAAACCCTATTCCTTCCCTACCCCTTTCCCAAAAGAAAGAAAGAGGGATAAAGAAAAAAACAAACAAACAAAATAAAGCTAAACCAAATAATGTCCAGATGTGATTGCTCTGGCCTAAAAGCAAAGCAAAGCAGAGTAGTGTTGGATTCAGAGCAGAGCCTTTGATCAAGATGACTAGCAGGTGCAGCTGACTTTGGACATACCAGCTGTCTGAACCCAGATCATTCATTTCTCTGTGCTTCTGTATGCTCCCCCCCCCCAACATGGGATGCACTTGGGGACTTAACAAAATGTGCAGTAAATTAAACGGCGCATAGTCCCAGGGTTTCTGAATGTGTGATGAATGTAGCTACTGTTATTAATTTGTTGTGCTCTGGGCTGAATCTGAGGGCCTCCTGTCTTTTCTCTCTATTTGTTTCTCCTGGGTGACCTCATTCAATCCCATGACTTTAAAAATACTCTATCCTAACGACTCTAAAATATATGTCTCCTGCCAAACAGATCTCTCCAAATGTGAGCCAGCTCATGTCACTTATCTACTCAAAATCACTGCTGTGGCTCCCCTTCTCTCTCACTGAGACAACCGGAGCCCCACTGAAAGTCTGTGAGCCTCTCCATACCCCGTCCTACTTGGCTGATCATTCCCCAACTCTTTCCACATTCTTTCTTCTTCAGACACACTGCTGTTGTGCATTCAGCACCCCTAAATACTCTTGCCCCTCAGACCTTTTCTATTTCCCATTCTTTGAATGTTCATCCCCAAATGTTTATGCAACATGACCCTTTGTGTGACTGAAGGTCCAGATCAAATACTATCTTATCAAAGAGCCTGTCCATTCCTGACCCCTGCGAGAGAAGACTCTTTCCTTTTCTGTTTCTTCCTCTTGCTTTATATTTCTATATGATCTTATTACTAATGCATCCATTCATTTTTTAATGGTCTGTTGTTTTTGCCTAGAATGTTAACTGAATTAAAGCAGGAACTTCATTTTGTTCACAACCCCTAAATCAGTGCTTGGTATATGGCAGGCGTTCAATAAATATTTATTGCTTAACTATAATTATGCTAATTGCCCAGCTTGTAAAATCTCTTGCTCTTTCTGCCCCACTAATTTGCATCTTATGCTGGAGAAGTTACAAACTTCTTTGTGAATCGTATTGGTTCTTAAGACTCTTATACTGAAACTAGAAACTTTGGGGCTAGTAATACGGCTTATCAGGTAAGGCACTAGTCACCAAAGCTGATGACCTGAGTTCTAACCCCAGGACCCACACTGGGGGAGGGAAGAGAGTGCCTACTACTGCAAGTTGTCCTCTGAGCTCTCTAGTAGTGCTGCAGTGTGTGTGTGTGTGTGTGTGTGTGTGTGTGTGTGTGTGTGTGTGTGTACGTGCACACGTACAAAGTAATAAACATTTTAATAAACTAGAAGGTTTCTCCATAGTAGAGGTTGATTTACTATTCAGCAGAGAAATATTCATCACATACCTGCCACAAACTCTTAGATAAGAAATAAAGAGCAGAGCTAGCAAGATGGCTGAGCAGGTAGAGGTACTTGCTACAGACTCTCATGGCCTGGGTTCAACCCCTGGAACCCACAATGTGGAAGGGGAGAACAGACTCTTGCAATGAACTGTTAGAAACTCGAAGCCTGGGAAAGTAATACTTTTTGCTTCTGAATCACTAAGCTAATTATTGGTTCTATATTGCATGCAAACCAAACATCTGACCATTCTTCAAACCTTTCCTTTCCCCCTATTCATTTTTCTGAATCTTAGCCCACTCGTTTGCTTAACTCAAAATTTAAGACATAGTCTCGAACTTCTCTATAGCCCACCTATCTGGAAAGACTAAAAGCCATAAAATCTACCCTATGTATCCTGCCACTGCCCAGCCTCCTCCCTGCCATCCCTCTCAGTCCCAGGTCAGCACCACCTGCCCAAAGCTGCCAGCCTCCTCTCACATTCTCCTCTTTCCATTTGCTTTTCCTCCCAACAGCCAGAGATCTCCTAAAAATGTAAATCACACAGTGCTCTCCCGCTTAAAGGTTTCAAAGGCTTTCTTTTGTTATCCCACAGTAAGTTAGTGACTCAGAAATTCTCTGGCCCATTATCCTGGCCCCATGTGATGACCAGCACCCACATCTCTACTACTGGTTTCCAGTGTCCAGGGCTTCTGCTTCCACGGGCCTCCTTTCATGGTCATGAGCACAGGAAGCTCTATCCTGTCCCTAAATATCGGAACTAGCAACTCATTGTCTAAGAGGTCTCACAGTAAATGCCATGCCCCCCAGGGAGGCTTTCTCAGACCATCTATTTGTCCAATCTGTTCTGTCAGAGAATGAGTTAATTTATTTATTATGTTTTGCACATTTACACCTAGTATGTTTCTTTCTGGTTATTATTAACCTCCCTCAAGTAGAACATAAATTTAATGAAGAGACATGCTTTGCTCTTTCAGAGGGGTTCATAACAGCATCTTTTAGAGAGTGAACACTCCAGAAATGAGGATGGAATGGTAACTGTCTCAACTTGGATAAGGTGATGAAGGAACGTGAATTTCCTAATACCTAGCCTTAGTAATTTCCTCATTCATATTTGCTCAAATCCATAATTGCTTCAACCCACACAAAGGACCAGAGTTAACAGACGGGCTCTCACCACTCACTATTTCTTAGTAGCCACGGGTCAAGATCTGGACTCCTTTCAATAGCTCAGAATCACCAAATAAGGGAGAAAAGAAGTCCGAAATGAAGACTATTGAAAAGAGCAACGGTCATTTGTCACTTAAAATATTGAGGCCATGAGAAAGAAAATTTATAAAAATCAACCCTTTTTGGAGTTAGATATGTTAGGGAATGTAGACAGGGAGAGAAAAGGAGTAAGATAGGAAAACAAAATCTGAAGGAGGCAGGACATAGCCCGCACACCAAGCTGTGAGTATGCAAGGCTCTGGGTTTCTTGCCTTGTAGATAAACTAAGATGGGCTGATGCAATGAAGTGGGATGGGGAGGACAGAGATGACAGGGTCAGGCACCAGGACCAGTGACTGACGCAAAAGACGCGAGAGAGGAAGTAGGACTGATCACCACCGAGGGAAGAGCAATACAAAAGCAGCCCCGGATCTCGCCGGAGTTGCAAGCGTTAAAGGGAGGCGGGGAGTGACGCGGTTTGCGTCTAGAGCGGCTCCTTGGAGTCCACAGCATCCACCGCCGGAGCCTCGCCTTCCTTTCTCCGTCTGCAGACATAACGAGACACAAAAAGAGGCAACCCCTGGACCAGCGCGAGGGACCTACTCCCATCATGACCGAGACCACAAAGACCCACGTTATCCTGCTGGCCTGCGGCAGCTTCAATCCCATCACTAAAGGGCACATTCAGATGTTCGGTGAGTCCTCCCGCCCACCCCGGAGGCTGCTTCCGCTGCTCTACTCTCGCCTCTACCGTGGTTTTCCAGGGCGACTGGGCAGAAAGGCGTGCGCCCCTCTGGAGGGGTGCGCCCGCTGATCTGGCTAGTGCCAGGTCAGTCCCTGCGACCACCGCTAGCGAGAGCCGACGCAGGCTGCGTTTTTTTTTTTTCAGGCTTCTCTAGCTTGGGGCCAGATCGCCTCGCCGAGGGCCAGGGGTGGGGGAGGTGCGGGGTTGGGGGTGAATGTCCTCTGGGGCGGGGTGGGAGCTCCGGGTTAGAGCCCTGGAGTGCGACCGACGGTGCGGAGGTTTGGCTACTTGGCGGGCGAGGGTAGGGATGGCAGCAGAGGTTGGGGTGCGGAGAAGGGAGGAGAGGGATTGGAGATAACGTGCTGTTTGTTTAGGATGGACAGAAAGCTCGAAGGAGTTAAATGTGCCTCGGAGACACAAACACACGCACACGACACACCAGTGACAGGGACTCGGGTTCCAAGGAGACGACTACCGGGTTTGGCTAGCGGTTCCTGGAGGCTCAGGGACAAATGTTTGGGGGCTGTGGCTCTGTGTGGCCCCGAGCGGTGGATGCTGACTGATGGCGAGGGGTACCCCTGACCGGCCCAGGTTTGGCTCTGGCTGCCTAGGAAGGGGAGGGGGCGGGGCGGCGGCTGCGGGAGGTGGTCCACGAACTGGCGAGATGGATCCGGGTTCAAGTTGGCCAAGGTTCTGTCCAGGGCGGCGATGGCACCCGTCAGTCAGCCTGGCAGCGTGAGTGTGAGGATGGATGTGTGGATGTGCGTGAGAGTCGGGTAGGGACGCGTCTTCACGAGTTTGTTGTTGAGGTGTGGGGCGTGTAGCGAGAGGGATCGGGCCCCAGCGTCTGAGCACAAGGTCCAGCAGAGAGATGCCACGCGGCTCAGAGGCTGCTCCCTGTTAGGACCCAAAGGCGCAGGGTGTGTGCGCATTTAGACCTCCGAGAGAGAGAGAGACGCGGGGGTCACTTTAAAAGCAGGAATCGAGAAAGTTAGAAGTTGGAGGTGCTTTTTCCTGGGACTCAGGGAAAGTAGGTGAGAGCCAGCGCGCCCGGGATGGAAGAAGGAAAGGGTGAGAGGCCCTGACCCGGCCCTGCGGTGAGGCGCTCTCCACAGGCGGCGGTGCTGAAACGCAGCACGCTGCCACTGGCTGCGGGCACACGTGTTTGCCCAGGGCTGGAGGACTGCCAGAGCTTTCCTAGGCTGTTAGATGAAAGCCACAGCATACCCGTAAAGACGACCCCACATGCTCAAGTTAAAAATACCCGTCTCTAAACCTAAAAGGTGAATCTTCACTTGGCCTGATGATTAAAAAGCTCACGACAAGGTTATAAAACTCCCCTGCACACGGGGCAGATCCGGTGGCCACTGTACAGAATGGGAAGAGGGAGCCTAATTAGTAGCCATCCCTTCCGCATTATTCTGTAAGCTTCTGAAAGTGTTTATTCAGAGATGATGCCAACTTGCCTGTTAAACAGGGGCCTTTGTTACAGCATCAAGGTAGACCAGCAGCAGCGTGGGCCACCTTCTCAGTCTTCTGAAGTAGCAACACCCCGGGCATTCGCCACTTTTTACTTTCTTTTGAGTCCAGTGTCAAAATTTTCTCTTGTATTCTTCGTCCTCGTCATCCACTCTTCTGTTGGCAGCCTTATGTTGATATTGTTTCCCTCTCCCTTGGCCGGGAAGGGTGGAGCTTCCTTGGGAACTCCTTAGCTCTAGGAATCTTTAGTGGGCCAGTGGGTGCTCCTCCTTTCTTTCTGGAACTAAGGATGTGGAAAATCCCACTGGCTGTGGGCTCGGAAGTGGGTCAGATTTTGATTGAGAGCAAGGGCCTTGTCTTGCCGCTGTCGAGTTCGGTAACAGTGATACCTTGTATCGGTAGCCTTGTTACCGAGGGAATGCTAACGTGCCAATTCTCCAGGAGCTTTGGGGATAGAATGTGAGAGCAGGCCTGGGTTGTAGCAGAAGGTTTTGCATTTAGAAGAAGTGAAAGGAGACTTTTGACAGTGGCCATTATTCACCTCCCATTGGCCTCAAGGACCAATCGAGAAGATCTGTCAACGAAGCCTTTTGAGTATCCATTAGGCGCAATTTAAAGAGCAACACAGGAAAAAGCTGTGATGTGCTCACGATGGGTTTCAGGAGCTTACTACCTAATGGAGGCCTTTCTAAAAGTCTATAAACTCGAAAAGGAAGCGAGAAGAGGAAGACAAAAGAGATACTAAACTATATGTCGTGGGATCTCTTACTGGTAGTATCTTTGAGCTTCTTATACATTTTGAAAATTATTCTTATGACACTTATTTCTTTATTATTTGTGTGTGTGTGTGTGTGTGTCTCTCGCGCGTGCGCCTGCGTGCATGCATGCATGCATGTGCCACAGCTTTCGTGTGTGGGTCAGAGGACAGCTTTCGGGAACTGCTCTTCTTCTACTGTGTATGGACTGGGTGCTGAACTCAGGTTGTCAGCCTTGGTGGCAAGCATCTTTGCCTTCCAAGCCCTGTAAATAATGTCTTTGTTTTCTTATTTAACTATTTTCTTATTTAACTATTTTTAACTTATTTAACTATTTTGGAGACTCTGTCTCAATTATATTGCCCTGGATGGCCTAGAATCTACTATATAGATCTGGCCAGTCTTGAACTCACAGAAATCTACCTGCCTCTCTTTTGAGTACTGCGATTAAAGGCCTGAATTGATTTTATTTCATTTTATATTTCTTGATAATGGGTCTCACTCTTAGCCCAAACTGGTCCCAAAGTTATAGTAATTCTCCTGCCTCAGCCTTGCAAATGGACTATCAGGCATGGACTATCACACTTGGCTTTATAAATTACTTTTGTATGGCAGTTTCTCATTAAAAGCTTTTCATGTATGTTTTGAACTGGTTCATAATAACAATCTTACAAGACAAATATCACCATCTCATTTGTGAGTGGGAAGCTGATATTCAGAAACTGAGCAGGTCACAAAGTGATTTGATCTTGAGACAGGGTCTCAAGTACCCTAGGCTGGCCTCAGCATGCCTCTGTTGGCAAGGATGACCTTGAACTAATGCTGGGATTACACAAGTGTACTACCACTCTCTTGACTGGGTTGTCTGGAACCTCACATTTCAGATCCCTCTTACAGACTCTGCTGTATTGCATGAGCCAGGAAGAGGTGCTCAGCTAATCTGATTGGGTCATCTACTGAACACTATTTCCTTTAAAAGTATGCTAATTAGAATGAAATTGACTATCAGCTCATTGCATTTTGGTGATGTGTTTCCTTAAGAGCTTTTTCTCATTGCAAGAGAGACAAGTTATCCATGAACTATTTCCTTTTTAAAATGATGTTAAGATGTTCCCCATGAACACATAAGTACTTAACATAATTAAATTATCAAACTTTCTTTGAGTGTGCGAAATTTGGTGGTACATGCTTGTAACCCAGAATTGAGATGCAGAGGTAGGAGGATCAAGAATTCAAGGGCAGCCTTTGCTAAATAGTTTAAGGCCAGCTATATGAGATACTATCTCAAAATCAAAACGTAAATTCCTTTAGTAGAGGGCCTGTATTTTTTAAAATCCAGTTGCTTCCTAGAGGGGTAAATAAGAGAAAACATAAACAAACAAACATAATCAGCACTTAGAACTATAGAACTCACTTTTCTTTTTTGAAATGCAGGTGGTATATTCATGTGTGTGCAGGAGCATGTATGTGTAAGGGGACATGTGTGTTAACAGGTGTGCGTGAAGACCACGGGACAAGTTTGAGTGTTGTCCTCAGGAGCTATCCATCTTTTTAAAGACAGGGCCTGTCATTAACAAGCCCTAGGGACCCACTTGTCTCCACCTCCCCAGTGCTGGGACTACAAGTATGTGTCATCAAGCTTTTTTTTTTTTTAAATGTGGGTTCTGGAGGTTGAACTCAGGTCCTTTGGAAGAAAGTACTTTATTGATTAAGTCATACCCCCCCCCCCAAAGCTGAATTCTTCATTTTTATAAATGACATCTGGCACAATTTTGGATATTTGTAAAATATTTTAGAATGAACTTTCTGAAAGAAGAGTTGAACTTTTTTTTTTTATATCCCATTTGTGGACTACAGAAATATAGGAAAACAAAGCATTTGTGATAATTTTATACTCATTTGTAACTAAAATGTTTTAGCAAAGTAAACCCATGAACTAACGATGCCACGTTTCATGGGTCAACCTCACTGCGTAAGAAGGCAATGTGAAGCTCGAAGGATTTTTATGGAAATTCTTAGTCTTCATAACTTGAAATAAAATTATACTGAAATACCATTTCTAGCATGCTAATATGTAATCTCTACTTGAAAATTAAGAATAGTAGATATTTATATTGATATATTTAGTTGTAAGTCTACCATTGAGTAGTCAAACAGCAAGTTTAAATAGAAAAGAAAAAAAGACTGACTGATTAGTTTGGGCATAAAAGCTAGAAGAATGAGATGATTTAATCGGAGCTGAAATGTATCATGTGCTTGATGACTGTCAAGTAACCTGATTTTCCAGTGTTTCTATTTCAATGTGTCTTTACTTTGAGCAATTGGGTCGTTTGAAAAGAGGCAGTGGTCTGATTCTGCTCCTTCTAAAGGATGGGGAGACGGCTCTCTGGGTGTGCAGATGGAATGTAGCCTCTATTGTGATAGTTGGTAATGAACTTGGGGGTCAATGATAGGGAACTGCCAGGAAGTAAGAAAGCACTTAAGATACTAACCTTGTCTACATAGAGAGTTCCAGGCCAGCTAGAGGTATACACAAGACTATATATATATAATACATATTATTTATATATATATTGTGTGTGTGTGGGGGTTAACATGTTTGCTTGAAATACTTATATTAAAGGTCACTTATACTTATATTAATACTTATATTAAAAGGTCACTAAACACAGCATATTGTTCCATACCATGGATTTACTTGCTGTTCTGTGAGAAG